GCTGAAATGAAGCATCTTTGGGGCAAAGTGATTGAGGAGTGAGTGAAAGGATTCGACACCTGATGTGACACTATTGGGAGACAGCTGTCTTATGTCTTTAATAACATTGTTGGTGAAGACTGTCTCGATGAGTCTAGTATAGGCTTTTGAGTCTATATAAAAAAAAACAGATTAATTTCAACACCATTGCAAATTAAACTGAATCCTAGAAGATGGTGCATGCACTAAAAGATAAAGCCAAGCATTTAAAAATGTGTTAGAGACAATACAGGTGAAGGAACAGACTGTCAGTGATTTAGGAAGATTGAGTAAACGCCAGATAGTGCCTATAATAGATCCTGTGCACCACAGACCTCATGCTCAGCAGGTGATGCAAACAAGAAAGATTATGCATTTCTTGAAGAGCTTATTTGCAAAAGCAGATAAGTGTCATTTGAAAATATTTTTGGATGCTTCTAGTTAAGTCTTTGTAATGTTTTGTTTTCAAAAAGTGAATTGTATTTGATTGAGGTTGAAATATAATTCAAAATGTCGGATTAATTCAGATTCAGATTCCACTAAATATGTCAATTATTATTGACATATTTAGTGGAATCTGAATCTAATAATACTAAACAAATATCAATGCTCTCTGCCATTACTTAGAACAAAGATATCCAGTGTGGCATTTAAACTCTTCATTTGTTCCCAGTTTTATGTAATCTATAGCACTACATAGAAGTTTAATATAATGAAACCACAAACTGACTATTAACATATATTTTACCATTTTTTTTCACGTTATCTGAAATGTACATAAGCAATATGATCATTACAATAGTCAACATTTGAGAATTTACATATTCATTTTGGTATACTCACAGCTTTGAAAATACTTTCTTTCCTCAATTTCACCATGCAAACAGGTTGGAAATAGTGGACTCTCATGTTCGTGGACACCTTTTATATGGTTGGCCAAACCTCTCCAAATGGCTTCATTGACATCAGGATTACCATCCCCATTATTGGCACACCAATAGATGTGCTTTGAGATGGACTGTTTCCATTCACTGACAAGACCACAGTCTCTCTCTTTACCGACTGCAAGAAGCTTCTTTCCTAAACCTGCAACAGCACAATAAACATTACTTAATTCTACTTAAAAATTAAATTCAAGTATGACCTATAACACACCTTTGTCAAGATGCCAGACGTCAACACTGTGCTTTATATCAGGCTTTGTTTCTCTCATCATTTTGCGAATTGATAGATGCCTATCTGTAACCAACTCCTTGATGACAACGTCATTTCTGTTGAGCTGATCTAATGCTCGGAGTAAACCTTCTTTCTCCATAGCTACGCTTGAGGTGACCTCATTTGACTGAAAAACAAAGCATAGATAAAATATTTACTTTTTACATGCATGCATATTTATGAAATATAAACCGTCACCTGTACAAGCTGGGAAGCAATTATTGTTTTGCTTTTCCTCTCCATTACTGTGTATGTACCATACTTTGCCGAGTGCCCTACGCCAAAATTACATGACACTTTACAAAATCACATAATCCATGGACAACTACAATGTGGTAAAGCTGAGCAGAGAGAGATGAACCAGTGAATGCTGTATTTAACTGAAACTCAATTTTAGACGTTTCACTATGTGAGCCTGAGTATGTGTGTGAATTTGTGTGTGCAAGTGTGTTTGTGAGGTAAACTGTTTTGCTTGTATTTGATTTTAATGTTTGTAAAGGACTTTGTGTTGCATTTTGTATGAAAATCACTTCATAAAGAGTTTGATTTATTGATCATCAAATCATGTACCTGGACTGTCTGCTCTTCCGTCCCCACTTGCAACTATTCCACTTTGATTTGTCACTTTCACTTTTTGCAACAGTTCATCTTCATGATTCGTAAATACTTCATTGATCGACGGAAGTAGGTACTGGGCTTGATGTTTCATGAAAGTATCATAGCTGATGCACTGTACATTCATGTGGTGCAGCATACGAAGGGCCTTTGATGGGGCTAGGCCAGCAAAGAGAATTGCTGCACTCAGGCATATGTTTCCCACTCGTGTTCGCGACAACATTGGCTGGCTGTTCCACTGTCTCTCAAATCTACAAAAGCCAGATTGGCATTCTTGCTTTATGGATATTGCTGTTCCAGATACAGTGCTTATTGAACAGTCAGTTTCTGTCGTGCATTGTGGGCACATCTTAAAAAGTGACAAAAGGCTGCTCTCTGAAACCAAGTAAAATTTTTCTCCCGGCTGCCATGATTCAATCCTGGAAATTACATATAAAAAAAATGTTAATGTGTCTGAAATATTCAACTTTTTCGCACCTCCACAAAATACATACCTTTCTGACTCTTCAATAATGTCCTGCTCATCTGCGATGTAATCAGGGTCATCAGCTTCCTCTATGGTGAAATCCTCATCCTCATCATGGACTTCAAAAATATTAATTGGATAATCCGAGCTACATGCCTTCTTGGATGGTAGAGTACACTGTATGGAAACGGAACGCTGGCGGGGTCGAACTGAAACTCCTATCAATATAAAAATGTTTAGCTGAGTTAATGAATAAATGGCTGAATACATGAGTAATATATATATACACACATACATAAACATATATATACATATGTGTATGTATGTGGATATAACTGTACCAACATACCTTTGCTCCTGTACGTTGACTTGTTTCTGAATGTGGTTTGTGTGGATTGATCTTGAAGTGAAGGTGTAAAGGTGCCAATGCCATCATCTTCATTTGAGGAGCCCGCTGATGTTGATGGATGCACAGGGTCCATGGCAGGAATAAGGAGAGAATTTATCATCTGCAATAAAGAAAAGAATAACCTGTCATATTTGATCTCATCAACACCTGTCCATATCACAAAAAAACTGAATTTAATAGGCTAAATTACTTGCCAATTGTGAATCACTTGTTCTTGTTTCTACAGATTTCATCAAGGTCCTTTAAGACTTATTTAAAGACTATTTATTTTAAAAAAACAATGCACATTTTACAGAATATTTCTTTAAGAAACTCCTGAATTTATTGAAATTGTGGGTAAACAGCAACAGACTAAACCAGGAACAAACCCATAACTAAAATCAGACAAAGCCAGAGCTAAAACAAGAATAAAATTAAGCCAACTAAAGCAGAGAAAAAAACGGACTAAACCCTGACTAAGACCAGAACTAAACCAGGTCCAAACCAGGACTAAACCAAGCAATAGCCTGCCTACACACAAGTTACAACTTGTTACAACGTTCTATATTTATATTCAAGCTAACAATAAGAAGGACACCCATTTAAAACTCTTAAAACAAGGCAATTAGATTTTAGTAAGAGTCTCAGTCCTAGTTTATTCCTGGATTAGACCGGGGCTACGTAGGATTGTCACAAAATCCCAAGGCACACATGGACGTGCTTCACGACACACCAGTGTGTCTAGGCCATGGATCTATTAGGTCTAGGTCCACCGTTTGGGAACCACAGAGATCGAGGAATAGTAACAGCGGCTAGCTAACCGTGTTGCAAGTACACGGTTAGCGTATGACAGGCTACAGTAACTAGACTTAGTATGGTTTTTGTGTGTTTGTGGCTACCTAAAATAAGCCTATAAGTTCGGGTTTTAACTAAAACAAATGAACAATAAAAAAAAAGCATAACTTACCCTGCGGTGTTCGAGCTTGTGGGTCAGAAGTGTGCGTCTGTCCGTCCTTGCGGGAGTCGGGGAAGCCTCGCTCGGCTTCTTTCGTTTGAAGACTGTTGGGATGGCATCAGGTTTTAATGTAGCCCGTGTCTTGTACCCCAAAGACGCTGCCACCGAATTAATGTGTTCAAACGAGTCCAACGTGAAGTGCTCAGAGCAGACAACACAGGATCTCCACGCAGCAGACAGATAGGGAAGCGGAGGGCCGGTCCAATGAAGACGCGTCCGTTTCACTTGTCTGTTCCACTGGTCAAATCGCTCTTTTTCAGTTGTAGGATTTGGGAAGCTGTGTAATGAAACGCCATCCTTGTTTACATTACTACAGCCGTAAGCGACACACGTTTTCCCCATCGTTAAGCCGAAGAAAAGTAAAAAAAAAAAAGCGGTTGTGTAAGTGTACAGTACACAGAGTAGGCGCGTGTTCGAATGCGGGATGCCAACCATCTACGTCACACGTCGGGTGGCATGTTTTTAACTGGTGATTTCTAAAAGTGTAATAATTTACATGTTTCTCTTTTTTTTCAGTTTTCTTTTTTCTCCCAAAATGTTTATACGGCTCTAACCTTACAAAAACTGCAATTGGTAAAATAAAATTCTAGTACTACTTTAACAATCTGTCTTTCTGTTTAGATTCAGACCAAAACTATTGTTTGTTACAGGGACATTTAAAACAGTCTGAGGCAGAATGTAATTAAATCTGTTTGATTTGCTCACACCAGTACTTTTGGGCACAACCAACGGGTAGTGCAAGGGAAAATTAGGTACCCCACCTTTAATTTAGTGAGTGCGCTTCGGGAGAAGACATGGAGGAGACTGAGGCTTCGTAGTCCAGCTTCAGTGCTGTATTTAATGTGTGCACCGGTTACGCAAAGACACATTCGCACACAAGCAGAGAATAGTTCTGTGCGTGGTCTTGGATATGATCATGTTACCGCGGCGCCGTTCGCCATAATCACACGTTGGAGGTGGGAACGGCTGTACAGAGCGCCCGCAGCTCAGCTCTTTAAAACTTGGATTCCCAGAGGGCCTACCTGCTCTGTTGCCATCTCACACGCATGTGTCCGCGGCATTCTGAGTCTTATTATGGGATGCATTTTAACACGATTAATGAAACAAACTAATTAACCTGCGTTAACGCAATAATTTTGACAGCCCTAATGATAACGCTATCCAAGCGGTAGTGTCAGAGTATTCATATCGATCATTTGATACTTATCATGTCGAAGTCTCATCTTTCTCTTTGACTTCAGGCGCTCGTCAGTAATAGAACATAAGGTCAAATGTGGTTGTACCTGTTTTGCCAGTGTTCTTCATGGTGGTCTGGTTGGAGGACTCTCTGTTGAAGTTGTCCAGCATCAGTTCCTGGTACTCATCCGAGCTCAGAGCCAGCTCGTCTGCAATGTCCACCGGGGATTGGTTCTTTGCAGCACATTCAGGGTATAAGGCCGCCCAGCCCCGAGGCCCGTGGCTCCCTGTGGACACACAAGCAGCAGAACTTAAGACAAGGGGATTATGGGAAATCCTCTTCCAGTACAGCCAGAGGTACACTTAGTATTTAAGCGAGCAAGACAGAAGACAGAACCCTAATCAGTTGAAAAAGTTACTTATGGCAATGTTCCCCAGACCTTTAAAAAAATAAAAAATAAAATGGCCACAACAAAAGTACATGAATTTGGGAAAATGTCTCTTGCTTTGATTTTATTTTAAAATATTATCAATGGTACCTTTTTTCTTGTCTCCAAACGAGACATTGTTTTTTAAATTATTGATATATAATATTTGACAATCCAAAACTGTCAAAATGCGTTGCACGACTCCTGTGTGTGTTTTTTTTAAAACATTTTTTTGCAATGAATCTATTTCTAAAAAGGATATGGGCTAGAATCAATTATTTGAAAAGTTACTTGAACTCTGATCAAAGAGCAAATTTAGAAACAATATAGAAAATTAGATCACAATTGGAATGTTGGTCAGAAAAATTGAAATTCGGTATTGTGCCAAAAATGTCATACTACCATGATTAAAACAAAACATAACAAAAAGAACAGAAATATAGAAGCAAACTACAATAAAGAAGAGATTAATCCCTAGATTTGAACCCTTAGGTTATTTATTTTGTTTAGCACTAGGATCCCTAATTTGTCAGTGTACTGGTCTAGTTAAGAAGAATTGTTATGTATTTAATGATGACTTTGTCCTGTTTTTACCCCGTTTATCACACAGACACCAACACGACCTCCAGCAGCTGTATGAATAGATGCTGCCTGCTCACTTTAGGGCCTTGCTACTTCCTGTCCTCATTTGCACAAGTGTTCACTGCTTCTCAACCTGCAATATGGACCTTTTAAATAAACATGAATAAATAGAAAAATCTACAGGGGGGGACAATAGGCGAGGAATTCTAACACCTGAACAATCCACGGCACTTTTGAATGGCGGTGCAGAGGCGAGGGTCTCCAGTCTGCGCGACCCTCTAACGCGCCTCAACGGCTGAGAAAACATGTCAACACAACGAGGACTCACGAGGTAATTTCACCACAGAACGTGTTTGCAAAATAACAATGGCAAAAATGTGATGCGCGTTTACACCTTCGCAATATTAAAAGGTACGCTGGTCTAATTATTTGAGGTCAGGGTGCCGCTCTCATCGCCGAGCTGCCACAACAGAACAGCGGAGAAAACAACATCAACAGTATAATCATTGCCTATATGTGCCTTTGAATTTGATTGGATTTGTTATAATTGGAAAACATTAATTTGGCAATACTTTATATGTATACATTAAATACTTTAAACATTGTAGTATTAAAGATATAGATTGTATACTTGTTTCTTTGATGCTAGAGTTACAGCTTGTTTTATTTTAATCAGTATATAGTTATTGTTCATTTATCTTGTGCTGTGTGCTCCTCATTTCTACAGTTCAGGTTGTGATGTAACACTGAAAATTCCCTGCAGTGGGACGAATAAATCTCTTAATCTTAATAACTAGTTAAGAATAACTAGACATATGCATTGTTTCCTGCATTAAAGCTTGGGTGACTAATAATGATAGTAAGAATAATAGTGTTAGTCTATAGTGCTTATTTGGAAACTCAGAGCACACAAAAATAAACATTTAAGACGAAAATTAAGGAAAGGCAGGTCAAATAGGTTGGTTTTGAGAAGTGATTTAAACTTCTGTATAAAGTCGGAGTTTCTGATTGGTTGTGGGAGTGAGTTCCAGAGAGTGCGGGCAGCTGCGGCGAAGGCTCGGTCCCCCAAGGTTTGGTGTTTAGTCCTGAGGGGAGTGAAGAGGTTGGAGTCTGTGGATCTGAGGTGGCGGCTGGGACGGTGACGGTGGAGGAGGTCAGTGAAGTATGAAGGGGTGCGGTTATGGAGGGACTTGAGGGTGAGGAGGAGGACCTTGTACTGGATGTTGTATGAGGACGAGGGTGACTTTCAAACCACCGAAGAAATAACTATGATGAAATCCATGCATAGTTCCTCGCTCTCAAAATAGTTAGCGCCTGTATATTTGGCCCCTGTCACATCTTTGGATCTACTTTTTCAGACAGACAAGTGAAAAAGAGAACATGCAAAAGATAATAAAATGTGGACAGCATGTTGTGGTCTGACCTGTTCACGTCGGACTTTAACGAGGCTGGATCTTTGTTTTTTAAATATAATTATCTTTTATTTGGAGTGTAGTGTGTGTGTGCATGTGTGTGCGTTGATTATTTATGATGGAAAAGTTACCTCATGTTAAAAGTTAAATCATGTTGAGCCCATGATGATTTCAGGAGGATTCATATCAGTTTAAGAGTAGGTAAATAGTGGTTCTCATTCATACAATAATCAATCATGAACTAAAGCTAATGATTCGTGACATGAATGACCTTCTTGAGTTTCACAGTGAACAAGAACTCTTTCATTATCCATGAATCTTGATGAATGGGCATTCATTTATAGCGACTCATTATAAAGTGTGACCATAGTCTTTAACCATTTGTTGAAGGACTATTGAGATAAATTACTTGTGCATAAAGCTTGTATAAGGTTTATATTAGAGACAAATGCAAGTGGAAAAAAAAACAATTTATCAATTAAATCAATCTATCATGAAAATTGTAAAACATGTAAAGTTTGATGAATGGATTACATTGTTTTGTGCCCACCTGAGGCCCATTATTAATAACACTGAGTATCAATATTTAAATAACATTTTTTTTTCAACACATTTTCATATTGAGTATGACTCTGTTCTCTGCCCCTTTAGGTGACATCAGTGAACTGTGGTCACCTCTGCTCTGGTCACTGCAGACCATGTTGTGAGGCTTGGATGGTTTTACCTTTGGCTGACCAATCATCCACACACATAACCCTTTGTGTTATGAAATGGTGTTTTTATATATCAGTGCTGTCCAACGATTAAAATATTTAATCGCGATTAATCGCATGAATTTCATAGTTAACTCGCGATTAATCGCAAATTAGTCACACATTTGTGTGTGTGTGTGTGTGTGTGGGTGTGTGTGTGTATGTATGGGTATAGACCATAGACTGTATAGAAACATCATGGTGTCATTATGATGATGATAAACAATCTGTAAATATTTTGTAAATGTGTTCATGTAAATATGCTGTTTCTCTGTTTACTTTCGGTATATCTATGACTGTATACTGTTTGCTTGTATTGCCTTTTTTATTAACCCCTCCCCCTCATCTCCCACTTCATTTCCCCCCCCCCCCCCCCTCCTATGTGCCCTTCTGGGTTTCTTCTTTGGCCCCCTGTATCTCCAACTACATATTGTTTGTAATCTCTGTCTACAATGTATCTGAACTAGTCCTTTTCTTTGTTTCTATTTTTTTTTCTGTATATGTGTTTGTCTGCAATAAAAAGTAAAAAAAACTAAAAAATTTAATCGCGCGATAAAAAAAATTACGCCGTTAATATTGATTTGCGTTAACGCGTTAATAACGCGATATTTTGGATAGCACTAATATATACATATATATATATATAAATAATCAATAAATAAATCAAAAATGCTGCCCCTAATACCAATTGTGTGCAGAAATGACCAATAGAAGGCTAATTTGACAACATAAATACACTCATTTTTTTCTATTCTGACCCTATCACAAAATTAAACAGTGTTTCAGTGCAAAAGTGGTCCACATTAAGAATTCATGATTGGCTTGATGCTGCAACTTCCTGCCCGCTCCCAGTGCACTGTCTGCTCTTTTAATCCCGTCTCCCCCACAGTGACTCCACCACAAAAGAATAATCCACAGACAACAGGGGTCCTCTTCATCTGTGTTCAGCTACAATGGCCCGACGCAGCTACAAAAGCGCTCGGATCACGGATACAAGAAGCCAACGTGATTCAACTTTTCTGGGTTAGCACAACAGCAGCAGAACTAATGGATGAGGCAACCTGGGCCCGTCCCGGTGTGAACGTAGAAAACCAGGATGAGTGGGCAGCTCCGGGTTTTTTTGTGGATAAACCTTGGAGCCAGAAGACTGAACTCCAATTCAGATGAAGACTGAGGCTGAGTTTACACGGAGACAATGTGGCAGTAAAACGGTATAGTTGGATGTCGGTTGCTACCAAGCGTTCATACGAAGACTGTGTTCCAGGGGGGTGAAAACGTAAGTGTTCAGATCCAGCCTGCAGAGTGGGACAACTCAGAAACGCTGCACAGCAGGGGCTCTCTTTCACACCCGCGAGAGGGAAAAGGTGTGAAATCCCCCTCTGCTCTGACCCCCGCCTCCGCGCTGCTCCCCGCACGTAAATTTGGACATGCGCAGTAGCGGAGAACAAACGAAAACAAAAATGGCGCCGCGCACACTAACTAGCTTCGTGGGCTTCCAGCGCGGCACAGAGGATAATTCTACTTCTTCGTTCGTCCAAACGAGACCACGCGAAGCTCTAGGTTCAGTTCCCATTTTCACAGCTGCTGTTAAAATGCAGAATGATGTTGGTACTCTCTGAGGGTCTGGCACAGGAAGTGAATATACTGCCGAGAGGGGGGCTGGGCACGGGGCTGGGGGCCGTGTGAGTGTTGTAAAGTTTCTCTGCCCCCTACTGGCCGGGCGCTAGAACTACATCGTTTTTCAACCTCATGTGAACACTGAGAAATTTGCATTAGGAACCGGGTCGTTTCTGTTAATAGCCTGGAAACGTCTGCGCAACGTCTCAGTATAAACAGGGCCTGAGTGAGTTTGTTTTGTGTGTGACAGATATATTCTGTATTTATACATTTACCATTGGTAGCTTGCTGAAGCCATGGAAACGTAATGGGCTGAAGGACAGAGCAATGCTTTTTTTTATTACGAAAGAAGCTTTTCTATCCATGAACTAAAAAAAATACTTAAACCGGCCTTAAAGCTCAACCACTCAAGTAATATCTAAACTCTACAACTATATATTTCCATGTCCTTAATTTTCAATTGAATTGGATATAATGCAAGATTATTCACAATCAA